CCCATTCTCTTTTCTATTCTAGCAAAAGCCTCTGTGGCCTAGGAAGTGAGCTGCATCAAATAACGAAAGTTATTTCTATGTTGGGGCACAACGAGGTCAGTTCTAGCCAATGCTCAGAGCAGGGAGGACCAGTCCACGCCCCTCTGCCAGGCAGTGCCTCTGGGCCTCTGTGTCCGTCTGTTGGTTGGAGGTCTCTGCCTTGTGTTTGCTGTTGGCACCTGAGGGTTTGCTGAGCCCAGCTCTCTGTGTGACTGGTGCGCATGATTTGAGAGGTCACTACTCGCGTGCCCACTTTAGGACAGAATGAAGGCAGAAGCTTAATCACAGTGATTTGGAGATCCTAACAGGAACACAATTCATTAATTTGCTTGTTGTCCTCCCCTCACGGAACAAATTGACCAAGATCAGACCATCCCTCAGAGTAGCCAACAGCCTCCTTTTTAAAAAATTCCCATTTGCAGCCCAGGAACAGTGGATAACTAGCACCAGACATTGCCAGTCTTCTCTCCCTTCTCCTATGGACCTTTGTCTTTGCTGTTTGGTTATTCAGTTTTAATTTTGAGGGTCCCATGAGTCCTGGAGAACACCTGTGGACAGGGGTGCTAGGGCTGGGAAGTAAGTAACCCTGGGCTGAGCTGCTAATGGCTGCAGGTGCTGTCTGTGTGTCCCACACAGTGCCTTGCCCACACAGGATGCTAGGGACGATGTATCTGAGCAGTTGCAGGGATGACAATGGCTTTTTAATAGCTGGGAGGCCCCTTCATTTCTCTGTGCATGCTGAGTTTATTTTGCCATTTGTCAAATTCTGACTCTAGGGAACCTGAGTTTAGAGTGGTTCTGGCTTCAAGATTGATGGCCCCAGTGAATGACAGGCCCCTCTTCTCCTCTGAACAGTCGGCACTGCCAATAGGATGCCCTGCAACCCACTCATCTCTGAAAGACACAGTTCCCCACCTCTGCTGGGGCTGCAAATAAAATATTTACTTGGGATCTAACCAATACACCACAGCTGTCTCCCTGCCTGTGATAGACAGGAAGCAAGCTTCAAAAGGAACAGACAGTTTAATGGCTCAACAGATTCTGTTTGCCAAAGGGAGGAACAAAAAAATAGAAGATTCCAGTCCTCTGTTCAGAGAATGGCTGTTGCTTGGGCAGAGAGGAACTCTTCATTGGGATCCATGTTCCCCCAGCTGCTGCAGACAGGCTGTGAACCCACACAGACTCCAGTAGGGTGTGAAGGGAGTGGAGTGTTGGATGGAATGAAACACAGTTTTGTTAGGCCAGAACATCTCGTGGAATCTTTAATTCTTAAAGATTATAAATTCTTAAAAATCCGTGTAGTTCAGGTCTCCAGTCCTTGAAACCCTGCCAGAATGTTTCTGTCTATAGTTGAGTGTGTCTACTGATGGGGAAATCATGACTGCTCAAAGCAGATACTTCTTTATTTGGAAGAATTTCACTATTGAAAATATTTCTTTGATGCTCTGGCATCTACTTCTCTTAGCTTGTACCCTTGGATCAGGATTACCCTTAGGAACACATTGAATACATCCGATCCCTCTGTTACATAATGCCCCATAGCAAAAGGAAAGATGTCCTCTCATCCTCTTTGAGACTTCTTTTCATCCAGGGTGAGCTCACGGTGGGCTCTTTCATACTAGGTACTTTGGATGCAAAGACAAGTCAGCCTAGTGACATAAAGAGCATGTACTTCCTAAGGTGTGCTTTTAAGACCCTTTACCAAGCTGGTTGTTGAAGTGCTCATTCCAACACTTCCACTCTTTGGCTCATTGGCTCCTAATTCATTCCCAAGAAAAAATAGATGCCACAGGGTCCCAGACACTCATAGGGCCACATTTGACTAGTGGCAGGACCGCTGTGAGCCAAAAGTTTACCACACTTGTGTGATGTCCCCTTTGTAGTCTAGTCACTACGAAATGAGGAGTCTAGGCAGGGTGGAGTCCTCTTGGCACATTCTCTGTTCTCATCCATCTCTTCTGTGAGCTGCAGGCAGGTCACACCCCAGCATGACTATGTCAAAGACATTGGGGACTTGTCCAGCCACTAAAAAAAATGTTCCTTGCTTATCTTGCTAGTCTTCTTTGAGTGTAATTCTTTAGTTTGAAACTCCAAAGTGCAGGGTGGGTGGATATCAGGAAAGCAGATTCAAGAATTCCTGGGCTTCTGGCATCATATTACCTATGCAGCATCAAATATCATTCTAATCTTCATTTATCCTGTGCCACTGCAGGTGTGACATCCAACCAGAACTAAAGTGAAAAATCTACCTTACAAAATAAAGATGTGCTCCCTGAAAAAATATGCAGGGCCCTCAGAGACGGAAGGAGCCTTTGGCTGGCTGGCCAGGAACAGACAGGGAAGCATAACTTGCTCTCAGTGGAGGGAGTGGCCGAGGTGAGTGATAAATGTATGAGTCTCTTCCATATCTTGGAGATTGATCTATGGGCAATGAGGAGAAGCAGTTCAAAGATTGAATTGGGTGTGTGCACACAGAAATAATGTCCAGAGGTTTGCCCACTGAGGCTGACAGTTGTTCATCTGAGGAATGAGTGAATGATTTGTCCCACCCCATATTTTGGCAGCACAAGGCTGGCCTTCTTTGTCACTTCCTGAGTGTCTGGTGGAGTGAGTGTTAAAATTAAGATAGTGGCTTCTAATGCTAGGAGAGGTGGACACAAGCAATGGATAAGAATGAAGAAGCTGATAAAGATTGCTAGAGAGAGAACAGCAGCATCCAGTCTCTGTGTTTTTGGAGGAAAATGCTGCAAAATCTACCAAAATTAAAAACATGCAATCCTTTTTAAGGTATATTTTTCACAAATCTACTTGTCTATGTAGGCAAAGACTTATGTATCAGGCTACTAATTGCAGCTTTCTTGGCAATATCCATGACAGGAAGCAACTCAAATTTCTATCAGCCAGGGATTGGTTACATGAAATACGACCCATTCATATGACAAACTACCACACAGCCTTGAAAAAGAATGAAGTTGGTCTAGTTGTGTTGATGAAACTATTTTTGAGACATATTAGGAAAAAAATACCTACAGAACAGAGTACTTCCCTCTGTGCAAAATTAAAAGGTCTGTTCACAGATCCAAGTGCTTGTACATGTTAGATCTTTTATGGACAATACATATAACACTTGCCTTAGATTTGGAGTGGGATAACAGATAAGGGATGGAGAGTGGGAAGGTTTACTTCTCTTTATATATCATTATTCACTTTGTAAATTCATTATCTTAAGTATTTATTCTATTTCCAACAAAATAGTACATAATAAAAGGAAAGCATGTTTCCTGTGCATCTGGAAGTACTGAACTTCTCATTGTCCAGATGTTTATTGATACCAGTGTTGACAGAATACTGTGCCAGCCCAACTGGGGACAGAAGTGGAAAAGCATAGTTTATGATTTCAGGGAACCCACTGTGCAAGTGGGGAGAGAAAGGTATGCAGACAGCTATTCTACAAATCAAAGAAGGGAAAAATTAATCTTGACTAGGGAAGTGGAGATTTTATAAAGCGGGCTTAGAAAGTATTGATAGTGGAATTTTGAAACAGAAGATGAATGAGTAGGATGCAGAATTCGGGGTGGAGAATAACACCAACCCAAGATACAGAGTAGGTAACAAAGAGCTGTGTGTCACCCGAAATGTACCTTGGTCTACCAGAAATACTTTGCTTAGGGTTGAGATTTTGTTTGCTTTCAAGCATGTTTGTGAGGATGCAGACACTTGCTTTTGACTCAGATGGGGGGAGGATGGATTTGGGAGGGATGTGACTAAACAAACTACCTCTTCTCCCAAGAAAGGTCAGGATTTTTAGCATTTGCTCACTTCCCTGGGGTATGTATGGTGCGGTGTACCATAGCTGACTTCAAGCCACCAATACCTCATGAGAATTGAGGAGTGCCACAGTTTATATCTAGACGTCCCCTAAGAGCTTTATAATCTTAGAGACAGGGCTTTTGGCAGGTGATTGCACTATGGGAACACTAGTTAACTTGCTGTTAGGAGCTGAGGTAGGGTCAGAAGAGATGGCTCACTGGGATTGTGACCTGTAGGGTAGATCTCTCTCCTCTTCTCTCTTCTCCTGCTTTCTGGCTGTCATTATGTAAGCAGCTTTTCCTCCACTCTGCCCTTATCCCTTGCCATTTCTGCCTGGAACTGGCTGACTCTAGACTGAAACCACCAAAAACCGTGAGCCAAAATTAATCTTGCCTTTAAATTGTGAATCTCAGGTACTTTGTCCCAGTAATGAGGAAAGTGACTAAAACAGGGAGAGAAAAGTGCAATTGGCTATTCTTAGCCTGAAAGAGCCTAAGTAGAATCTTAGAGTACTAGAGTCACAATGTACAAGGGTCTTAAAAGAAAGTTGAAAATAAACCTTAGCTACCCATGAAGAAATTAATTATCTGATCAAGGTCCAAGAAAGTGGCAGAGATTGGACATTATCTTCTGGTTCTTAATGTAGTACCATCTCTGCTTTTCCTTGGAAGACACTGATGTAATAGTGAGAACGGAACATGGAACTGTGTATTTTGACAGAACAAAAGGTCATGAAGAGCTGGGCATTGTGGCACATACCTGAAATCTTAACTACTCAGGAGGGTGAGGCAGGAGGATTTTGGGTTCAAGGCCAGCCTTGACAGCATAGCAAGTCTTGTCTGAAAATAATATAATAAAAATGGTGGGGCAAGGAGGTGGGAGACAAAAATGAACAAAGTATGTTATGCACAAGTACAAATCTGCCAAGATGAAACCCATTAATCTGTGTAACCAACATGTACCAATAAAATGATATGAAAATGACTGGGGATGTAGCTCAGTGGTCCCTAGGCTCAATTCTCAGTACCACATACATGTACACATATGTGTGCACACACAGACACAGACACACACAAGGTCATGGTGAAAAGCAGAAGAGTTTCTTGGAAAGAACAGAGGTGGGTAGAGTTTCAGAAGAAGTCTTGGCCCACAGGAAAGTTCCGTGTGCTGGAATGTGTACAAAGGACCTGAGCAGGGAAGAAGGTACATAGTCAGGACAGGTGTTGTAGGAAAGTCTTGACAGAAGAAATGTTCAGTACTGTTTTGTTCAGAACTAACTTTATTTCCTTATATTCCTATATACAGGATTAGAAAGAACTGACCTGATGAGCAAATCCCGCTCCCTTTGAAGATCTATACCCACCTGGGCACTTTTTTTCTCCTCTGCAGACATCCAAGTACCCTAAATGAGATTAGGGTAAAGGGCCAAGAGATGACTTCTCAGTTCTCTTCCAGTATGACTGTGTATGTGTTTGTCGCTGGGAATCTGATGGCTCAGTGAAAAAGCCCCAAAACCTTCAGCGTAAGGAGGCAGGTAAGACTGGTGCTGCAAAGTAGATTGATTTATGCATGCATATCCAACTGAGGATAAACAAAGAAATCAGAGCAGCATGTGGCAAGAGAAAGGTTTGTTTTCTTGAGGTTATGGTAGGGCCAGGGAAAGGAAGATGGATTAGGAAAGCACAGGACAGAGAATCCTCATTATTATGTCATATATTTTAAAAATGTGACAGCCCATGCTGAGAGCTCTTCAGTGGGGGACCACTGACTTCAGGGCAAGGCCCCAGTTCCCTTGCGTGATAACAGAGAGCTCTATTTTTGCCTTCCTGTACCTTTCCTAGCCTTAGGTCCCCTATCTCAAGCACCCCACCACCTAAGCAACGCTTCAGGAGTGCGCGCTGCTTGTGAACACCATGCAGGGTTGGGGCTCCAGCCTTTGCACAGACCTGTCTCTGGAATGCTTCCCCCTATTTTATCTGCTGAACAAACCTGTGCTCATTCTTCAAAATCCTGTCCCAGCATTTTAACAGCTTTCCTAAGTCTTTCTTATATGGCAGCCTCTCCCCTGATCTGTCCAGATAACGAGAAGGATTTCCTTCCTTGAGCAATTATTTCTGCATGCATGGCATTATAATGACAACATTGTAATGTTTTGTAAATTCTCTTTTTATCCCTCCTGTTTTCCTATGATATACTCAAGTGCGGAAACTCCTGTTTTGACTCTTGAGGTTGAGACACATTGAATTGGTGACTGGCTCTCAAATACTGGGAAAGCCAGGAACAACGTAAGGAAGAGTTCCCTGTAGTCTCCAGAGCTGCATAGGGAGAGGGAGAGTGCGAACCTGCCAGCCGATGTAGACTCTTGCCAAAGGCCAACTGGTGTGCTGATGTGCCAAGTCACTTGGCTGTTTTCAGTCGAGATCCGGAGGGATATTGAGTGAAGTTCCGGATGGGGGCAGAAAGGTGGCAATGATAATGTAGAGGGGTAAATGGAAGTCCTATCCAAGATGGCTCAGTGCTGTACTCCAGTGGAATTACCCCAACTCTCTGGAAATAGGATTTTTCCTTAGCTCTCACACCAATGCAGCTCTCTGCTAAGTGCTGGAGTGGGTGCTGTGACACCACTGGGGTGCCTTTCAGCACCAAGTACTCATTGACCCACCGGTCTTTTGCTCACATAAGTAATGATTTCCAAGAGCATGTTTTATCAACTTCCTGCATGCTAAGCTCTGTCCTAGACTCAACCTATAAGGAAGCACCAGCCTTCATCTAAATGCTGCTAGGATTAGCAGACTGGATCAGAGTCAGAATGCTTGGGGGATGATCCCAAGGGACAGAGATAGTGACTGAGACTATAGGCAAGAAGATAACTTCAGCAGGGCCGCCAAGAGAACAGGGAGAACTGATAACAACAGAAGCCACTAACCTGATGTGCAGCCCTGTTTACCACACATTGCCTACCATGACCATGTGGGATAGTTTTGGCAGAGTTGGAGAAGTGTTGGTGGTAGTGTGTCATGTCTTAGATAGCACACTGGCCACAGCCTCAAGTTAGAGATACTTAAAAAATGTTGATTCTAGGACCATATCTTACTCCAGAAAGAATGGCTGTCATTAGGAAATCAAATAATAACAAATGCTGGAGAGGCTATGGGGGAAAAACATCCTTGTACATTGTTGGTGGGTATATAAACCACTACAGTCACTGTGGAAATCAGTGTGGAGATGCCTCAAAAAGCTAAAACTAGAAATTCCTTTTGACTCAGCTATTCCCCTTCTAGGTATTGTCCCAAAAGCCTTAAATGCATCATATTATGGTGATACATGAACAGTCATGTTTATGGAGATTCAATTCATAATAGCTAAATCTTAGAAGTGAACTATAAGTCCATCAGCAGATGAATAGATAAAGAGAATGTGGTATTTATACACAATGGAGTATTACTCTGCTGTAAAGAAAGATGAATTTGAGTCATTTGTAGGAAAACGGATGCACCTTGAGACCATAATGCTAAGTGAAATCAGACACACAAGCTGAAATATTGCATGTTTTCTCTTGTATGAGAAATCCAAAATATAAATAAACAGCAAAATAAAAGATTGATAATGGGAAGCAAGGAGATACATATTTTTCAGATGGGAAGGGGATCAAGATATGAGTAGGGGAGAGAGAGTAGGGAAAGAGGATGAGAAAAGTATTTCAGATGTGTTATGTACAAGTGTCAACTCTCCACAAGAACTATGAACATTAAGTACTGCAAATATGTACTCATACAAAGTAAAAACCAAAAAAAGGAGATTTTGATTTAATAGGTCTGTGGTAAGACCTTGGCTGTGATATAATTTAATTGTTTACTGGAGAATTCTGGTGTGCAACCAAGATTGAGAATTATTGGTATGATGAAAAGAGGATTAGCTCTGGAAGGAGAGTTGAGTTTAAATGAAATTTGGGGTTTAGTTAGTTTCTCTAAACTTCCATTTCTTCTCTTGTAAAATTATGTAAATATCATATATTTCATTTCACAGAAATGTCAGAATGGTGACACATTAATAATCAACAGTGTTGGCAAAAACAGGCTTCAATCCATGGGGTCATTATTATAATCATTGTTTTTACTATTTGTATTCATACTGAGGCTTTTGCCCCTCTTTCTCCAAGGTATAGAACCCTGTGGTACTTTTGTCTTCCTTAGCCTCCCTTTGTGTCTCTCCCTACTCTGGTTGCAGCTACCCAAAATCTAGCAAACTGTGGCTGCAGCAGCTAAATGCAAAATTAATGGCTTTCCTGGGGTTGACCAGATGACCAAACATTGGCCTCCATGACCATCTTCATTGTATTACACTCAGAATAGCACATGTGGCAGCTCCATCCTCCAAGATGACACTGCCAATGTGTAGCTGTCTGTGTATGGAAAACTAAATAGGCTAGATTTGGCTCAGGCACACAGGGAGCAGCAATGCTTAGGATGTTAAATGTCTTCCTCAAAATTTCACCAGTTACTGTGCGGTTTTGGGTAAGTCCTTTCTCCTCTATGTGCTTCTGTTTCTTGTTCTATCAAACACAGTAGCTAATATGAGTGACCAACTGTTTAGTTTGATGCTGATGATTCTGTACTCCTCCCCTAAATACCCTGGGGTACTGCCTTCCTACTCAGACAGTCTGACACTCCAATTTGGGCTCTGAGATATGCTACATCAAATAGGGCGCCTAGCAGTCCCTCCTGATGCTGCCTACCCTGAGTTTTCTTATCCCCACCCTCCAAAGACTTGTAAGTTTCCTCATTTCTCTTTCTGCCATCTAGAACTTTAAATAGCCTCTGGCACACTATGTGGCTGCCAGAAGTTGTAATTAAATAATGTCCAGCTGTCAGAAAAGCCGTTATAAATGGTCGTTTTGTCTGCACCACTGTCTGGAAAGCTAAGGAGAAAAACCAGAGGATTAGAAGCAGTAATGAAGGAGTTCAGTGGGGAATGTGTGTGTGTGTGTGTGTAGGGAGGTGACAACTTTTAGACATCCTGAAAACCACTGGAGGAACTGACAACAAAACATAACTAGTCCATGTGAGAGGTCTCAGCTCTCCCTCTGTGATGATAACCTGAAAGAGATTTGGGGAGTTCATGTCTTAGTCGGGAGCTGCTTCTTGCAGGCTGCAGTTAACATCTCTCCTTAAAACCACGATGGGGAAGGAAAAAGAGCACAGTGAGTGCTGGCATTGCAGAGAAAGTTCTTAGATCAACTTTCATCATTTTCTCCCTCTTTTCCTCCTTTCTTGCTAATGAATACTCTTGAATCTCCACCACATCTGAGATTTTCCCTAAATGAGGAATATGCAGAGGAAATGTACATTTATTGAGCAGGTATTAAGTGCTAGATAATTTACGTTCATGACATCATTTTAGTTTTACAATACATCTAGGAGAAAATTATTATGCAAGCCAATTTTTTAAGTGAAGTAACTGAGGGTGAGATTAAGCAACTTTCCCAAATTATCAAGCCAATAAGTAAAGGATGGAGTGTAGGAGACTGTGGCTGACCTCCATTGTATATTAGTAGCCGTCTTAAGCATTAAGTTTCTGTTGTCTGAGTTAAGTTTCTGTTAGATGTGCCTTTCCCTTTAAGTCAGGACTGCCTACCGTTACCTAGCTACTCCCGCCTTTGGGGCTAGGACTGCCCACCGTTACCTAGTTACTCCCGCCTTTGTTGGGTTACTTGGTTACTTCCACCTTAAGAACTTCCGCGTTTTTCCATGCCCTATATAAGCACGGTACTTCCCGCCAATAAAGGAGACTTGATCAGAATCCTGTCTTGTCTCCATTCTTCGTGTCTCTTGTCCCTTTATAATCCCCACTCCCCTTCTAGGGTCCTCATTGACTGTACCCATGGGCCGGGACAATGGAGGACCAGAACTTGGTTAGCATGAGTGCTTGGAAACTAGTCAAGGACAAAGTCTCTGTCTTCACTTCTGTTCTTTATTTGTCCCCCAGCATCCTGCAACCTGACTCCCCCAAGCTGCATAGAGCACCTGGTCCAATGCCTGGGGACACAGGAGGCTTGTGGAGGTGTATGTTTTTCCTTCATGAACCCATGAGAGCAACAAGAACATAGACCATGGAGCAAATGTCCCAGTGGTTTAGGGGAAATGTTCAAGAATCATAGCCAGTGCAGTTCACCTTTGTGGACTGGATGCCTGGAAGCAGCCACAAAGACCAGATGGAAACCCAGACAGACATGGATTCTCATAATGGGATTCAAGGTCAGTTGGAAAGATACTCCCCACTACAATGCAAGAGCCCAGATCCCACTTTCTGATGAAGGAACCAACCCTTGACTGCCCTCATAATTTGGCTGGGAAGACCTTGGAGCCAGCTGAAGAGCCAGTGGTATAGAGTTCTCCACATGATGTGATTCCAAGGGCAGGATGGACACTAGGTATAGTGTAGAGTAGAGATTCTGAATTGAACTTTGCTTTCTGGAACCAGGTGGGTGTCTTATTATTTGCATGACTGGTGGTAGGCATATCTCTATATGTTTCTGGAACTTGGTTTTCTATTCACAGTCATTCAGCAAGCATCCTGTGAACCCTGACTGAATGCTAGGTGCTGAGTTATGAGCTTGGAGAGTGGGCAGGCAGCAGAGAAAGCTATGTGATCTTTGGGCTAATGGAGGTTCTAGTCCAGTGGAAATAAACAGATAATTGCACAATTAAGTACATTATTCCACTTTGTAATAAATGCTGTGAGGGAGCAGAATAGAGTCCCATTGGAAAACCTTTTAGACTGGCATATCAGGAAACATCTCTTTTGAGAAGTGATTTATCTTTGGTAACCAAAGGGTAAGTACATGTTATCTGAACCCGAGTTGGAGGCAGAGCCTACACAAGAGCCTTGCAGAGGGTAATGGTGTCCAGTAGGTGTGGCAGTTAAGCCTGTGTGTCCAGAATGCAGGGAACATGGAACAAAGTGGAGGGACAGGAGGCTGGGGATGGAATCTAAGAGAAGGGCCATTTATGCTGAGCCCATTGCCTGTAAAGAGGATCTGGGATTATATCTCTTGATTATTGGGAGACTATTGCTCAATTTTGAACAGTGGGGTGATTGATTCACAGGCTAAAAATAAACAATAAGAAATGGAAAAACAGCTATATAAACCACAAAATGCTTGGAGACTTACTATACAGGGGCAAGAAAATTTGAACAAGTATTTTCATGTTGCAGAATCTATCTTATGGGAATAATCTGCTAACATAACAAAGAATTATGTACAGAAGTTTTCATTATAGTTATAAAGACCCAAAACATCCTGGCTGCTTGCTGTGTGAAAAGAATAAACACTAATAACTCTGGCTTGCTTCAGAATCAAGTGAGAGCAGGGTATGGAAGGGACTTTGTGATACTGCATTGTGCACATTTAGGAGAGAATCAAAAGTCGCTTATCCTCCCACTGCTTACCCTCTCCCAATAGCACCTAGAATACCCAGGAGCTTAAAGCTTCACAACTATTACAAGGGAAATGTCCCAGGGAGGTTCATACTTTAAGCAAGGCAATTGTAAGGTCTCAACCCCAAAGGGATTAGAAGCAGTGATTTTCGATCCTGGTACATTTTAAAGTTGCCTAGCATGGTAGCTGACTTCAAGAATGGTCCACCGTGAAGCTGGGTGTGGTGACACATGCTTGTAGTTTCAGCACTTGGGAGGCTGAGGCAGGAGGATTTCTGCAAGTTTGATGCCAGTGTGGGCTACATAGTGAGTTCAAGGCCAGCTAAATTGCATTATGAGAGACCCTGTCTCAAAAAACAAAACAAACGAAAAGAAAAGAGCAAGCAAGTGAGCAAGCAAACAAAAAGAGTGGTTCCCAGTGAGACTTACTTCCTGTATATGGGCCCCTGCGCAGCCCCTCCCATGTCAAATGGGACTACTCATGTAACCAAGAGTGTATTGCGGAGAAAAACTCACTATGGCTTCTGTCTTGCTTGCATTTTTTTTTTTTTGGTCATTTCTTCTGGAGCAAGCAAGCTGCCATGTTGTAAGGATGCTCAAGCAAACCTATGGAGAGATCCATGGGTCAACAACAGCATCATGGAAAGAGATCTTCCAGCCTCCAGCTGACATCTTGCCTATAGTCTTATGGGACCCTCTGAGACAAAAGTACCTAGCTGTATCCCTCTTGGATCCACAGGAACTGTGAGAAAACACATGTTAGTTGTCTAAAATCATGAACTATTAATTTGTTATATGGTGTTAGCTAACTAATGTTCCCAAGGAGTTTTAAAAATATTGACGCACAAGTTTTATCACTGGGGTTTCTGATTTATATGATCTGGAGCAAAGTTCCAGCATTTGGTATATTTAAAAATTTCCAGAAAATGCTAATGCGCAGGAATGATTGAGAACTGTCAGGCTTGAATATGGGGTGGTCAAAGTAGGAATTATGTACAAGGTATCACCTCAATTTTCAGAACCAGAACTTGGGTTATGCTGAGGATTCCACATGCAGAGAAGTCTAAAGCCCAGCTTGTGGATCAGAGTGCAGGGTCCCAGTGGGTGGACAGGTTGTCCTTCAGTCCACAGCTTCTGACAGTGGGATTCTTACATTTCCCTAGGGAAATGGCTATAAAGGGAATTCAGAGGCCTTAGCTGAGGGGAGAAGAGAGGCAAAGATCCAGGTAGATGAATCTACTTTCTGTAGACTATAGCTTTGACCCATGAACTTTCTCTGTAGTCATTCACCTTGGGACTGAGACGATGCAGGATGCCCACCCTTCCGCTGATGGATGACCTTCCGCTCTCCCTCACTGCCCTTATGGTTTTTGTCCAGACCACGTCCCAGCCTCTGGATGTTCTCTTTGGAACTTATGAGCAATGATGACAGCTGACTGTGAAAACCTTTGTCTGTCCTCACATTTTCATGAGTAATAGGACATTGTTCCCTTCTCTGAACAATAACTCAGGAAGCCTGGCTTTCTCTTTGTGCTCCCTCATGTTGTCTCCCTGATGAAACTGGCAGTAAAATAATTAAAATGATTAGAAAGGGAGTCTTAGAAGATGAATGATGCTGAGGGGACAGTCAGATATTGTAGCTCACCTAGGTTGTCTCAGCAATACATGTTGGAGTGTGTCACTGGTCTCTCCTGTCTCTTGTGTGTGGGGGCCCTAGTACGAACTTCCATCTGTGTGTCATCTCTGATTGCAGAAATGGTTCAAGATATTATCTGAGCACCTATAACATGCTAGGTGTAGGAGATACAAAATTTTTAAGATGCCTTTTTTACTTCAAGGAGCTTTTAACTTAATAGAGCCAAAGAAAGAAAGAAATAATACCCCTGAGAGCACAGAAGAGAGACAGGCACCTCACTCAGCCTAAAAAGACCTCGGAGAAGGTAAGGTCTGAGTTGTTCTGTTGTTTGGACAAAGATGGAGGGACATCAGTGAAAAGAAACAGTAGGTACAAGGACATTTTCAGAGCACTAGAAGCAACTCTGCACGTCTAAATATCTTTTTGGGAATTATGGCTTAAGCAGAGTGATCCAAAGGAATCTGGTGAGTAGTGAGCTCTTAAAGTTGAGCACAAAGGATGCAACTAGAGACCATACTCATACGTGAAATAAATCGGACCCACATGTGTGAACATCATATTGTCTCCCTAGTGTGAGAATTTGAAAGAGTAAATATCACTGAAAAGGTACAATAGGTATTGTGAAAAGGAAAGAAATCACTCAAAAGTAAGGAACAACTGAGATGAAGGAAAGTGAAAGAAAAAGAAAGAAAAAAGAAAAGGAAAAAAATATATATATCTAGGATATTTGTACTGCTGATATCTAATGGTTTATTGAAAGGAATAGCTAATGCTTAATTTTTTGACTAATTTTGCATGCTTGTATCTGGTAATCTGAACAACTAATTTGAAGACAACCATATGCAACATGACAACTATTGGTGAATTCCTACCATCTTGTCTAGTGAAACCTTGTATTATTTCTAATTTTTAAAAATTTTTTATTCTCTGTAATGCTTTGATCAATCTTCCATTCTTACATCTGGTAAGGTGAGCAACTTTGTTGAAGATAACAATATGTAATACAACAACCACTGTCAATTCCTATCAGTTTGTTCTGAAACCCTGTATCATTTTTGTTTTTGTCTATGTTGTTATTTTGTTATTGTTTTTTAAATTCTCTTTAGAATAAAATAAAAAATAAAGTTGAGCACAAAAAATGCAGTGGGAAGAAGTCACTATCAGCAAAATGCATCTTTGACCTGACCTTCCTCAGTCTCCAGATCCTACTCAGATGTACTTTTCAAGACCACAGAAAATGCTTGTCTTTTTTGTCCCAGCCTAATGCTTATGCTAGCCTTATCTCCAGAACCAGGGCTTTGATGTGTTTCCCCCTCTGTTGTCCTATCTACTTAAACTCAGACTGGCAGACTTCACTCTCCTGTCTCATGCCTACATCATGTTAAAACTGGTCTACTGTGTTCACCTTATTAAACTTGTGGATGGGCATTGGGACCTTCTCTTATGACTTGTGAGCACGGGGAGCCTTAACATTTTCAAGCGAAGCTGGCAGCTGAACAGAAGAAGCTGGGAATGTAGAAATCCAAATGCGAGGATTCTAGGAGGAAAATCTAGAAAGAGCAGAGGCATCAAGAGTAGGACCCCTGAGATTCAGAATGGGATAGATGAAGTGTGAGGGAGGAACAGCAGAAAATATTGTGTGAATTGGCAGTTAGGGGCTCCTGGATACATATTTCCTACTTTCCTAGTGTCACTGACCCCAGAAGAGAAGTCACAAATGTTGATGCCTTTATGTAGATGTAGAGCGGGGAAAATTATCTAAACAAGTCAGGTGATCAGGGAATCCATAGAATGGCTGCGACCATAGCAACCTGGAGAGCTTGCGGTCCATCCCATAGTGGACAATATCATTGAACTCCAGCCAGTGGTTGCCAGGTGGGGATGTGGCTCCAGTGCTAAGAAATACTGGAACTTCTCCAGATAAATCAGTAATCTGGATTTTAATGGGAAATAATTGATAGTCTAAATAAAAAGAAAAAAAAACCTTTATACAGAGAAAAGAGGACAGGAGCATGGTTCTAAAATTTCACCAGTTCTCCACATAAAGACAACACAGCAGCTAGAGTCTAAAGCTCTTAAACTCCCAGACACTCAAAGCAAGCTAGGTGACAAACAAACCCCACGAACACTGAAACACAGCAGGGTTTGTTGGGGAGACAACCTGCTAACAAGCGCAAACCTTGCACAGTCTCAGCATCTGTGTAGGAGGATGCAGAGGGAAGCAGTGAAGTATTCAATGAGGCTCAGGTTAGGCAACCCTCAAACAGCACATAGATTCTTACTTGGGAGCACAGCAGGCAATGCAATCATAGCAGCTAAAGCTGGCAAGGGGACCACCACCCCACTGGTGGGTCTGTGGAAACTTCTGAAAGGATAAAGGACTTCAGACCTGCTGAAGGCTATACAGTGACCACTGAGGAAAATAAGACAGCCTATGTAGGGTGGTACGTTACCCATAATCCCAGCTACTGGGGAGGCTGACATAAGAGGATCACAAGTTTCTTTAGGGCAAGCTGGGCAACATAGCAAGACCTTGTCTCAAAATAAAGTAAAAAGATCTGGGGATGTAACTTGGTGATAAAGTGCCAGCTTTGCATGTGCAAGACCCAGGATTCATTCTTCATGGGGAAAAAAAGAGAGAATAGGGCAACCTGTCTATAGACAGTAGAAGTATGCCAGTAAGAAAT